GGAGATCGAGCAAGCGGCTTCTAGTGTGATGGAGACCAAGATGCTGCGTGGACAGCCGGAGTCACACGAGTAGACCACATTCGAAACGATGTCATCAGAGAGCGATTCGGGGTGGCTCCAATTGTCGACAAGATGCGCGAAGCCCGTCTTCGATGGTATGGTCATGTCCTTCGCGCGAAAGATGACAGTGTCTGTAAGATCGGTCTCAACCTTGACGTGCCCGGAAAGCGGCCTAGGGGGCGCCCGAAGCAGCGATGGCTCGATACGTTGCACGTAGACTTGAAGTCAGTTAATATCCACCCCGATCAAGCATTTAATCGGGAAAAGTGGCGTCAACATATAAGAAAAGCGGACCCCGCTTACAAGCGGGACAGACGCTAAAGAATAAGAAGAATGTGTCTCGAATAGTTGAGTTAGTGCGGTCTTTCTCACCTCTGCACTCCGGCCGCGGATGCTGCTTCATTCTGGCTTGCTGCTCCAATCAGCGTGATCACTGTATGGCTTTGTTCTAATGTCTTTGGGCGAAAGGCAAAATTGCTCAAATAAGGTGTAATCAGTTACTCCAAATTTTTTTTTATCTTCTTGATAATATTTTCATCATTTTCAGAACTCGAACGCTCGGACAGCCATGAGCCGAGAATCGGATGACCACTTTCTACGATGTGATTTTCCTTTGCGGCGTCAGTGTACGTGCAGAAAGTTGCCGGTTCAAACTGCGCAACTAATGAGAGTTCATGTAGTCACACCGAAGGCGCCAATCACTGTTACCATTCAGCCGGAAGTAGAGGTTGGTTATAGTGCTACGGTTGAGGTATGATTTGGCATGCCTGATATTAGGCTGTTTCATATCCATTTTAGCTTCGCTGGATTCAAGAAGGTCAATTTCGGTTCACAGGGGAGGCGCCGTTGCAAGGCTTTCATAAGGCCTAGGTGATTCTTGCATAATTTTTATACGTTGTCAGAAGACCTCTGTCTCTCCCGAGAATTCGAATGTATATGTGAGGTATTCAGGTATTATATTTTGCAACTGCCGTTCATATATTCTGGCCCAGCTGGAGTCTGGATTCCTCCGGTAGGAGTGGAGCGGGTTGGAACATTCAAAGGAAATGCGATTCAAGTGAAATATGTGCCAATGTTGTCAAGAAGGTGATAGAAAATTGCACCTCGTTAAAGTTGTTGCTTATTGCGGGTAACCTGTTGCCGGTTTGTTTTAAACGATGTATCGTTTTTTAATTTGAAATGATGTATTGGAAAGAACAATCTGTGTTTACGGCTTGCCCTATTTCATTGAATTCTGGGTTCGTGTAATAAATTCACAATAGCTTTGGATGTTTGATTCGCTGTGTCACAATGATTGGGAGTGGTTTTTTTTGAATGCGCTTGAATATTAAACAAATCCAGAATAACGTTCTGGCAAAACGGACCCTTATTCTGTTGATTTTCTATAGTGAACAAATTGGAACAGCTTGCCAGCATTGCAAGCAAGGTGAAATTGTGTTGCAAACGCTGTTGTGCCTTGTGCCTATTTCTCTGGGATGAGGCGCAGAAAGATCAAGTTGCTTCTTCAAACGGTGACCAATCACAGGTGGAGCACTGTTTAGGGTTGTTGTTTCATTGTGTCTTAGAAAAACCTAAGGCCACACAGTCGCACCTGACGACCTTACCTTCATGGCAGCACACGCACTACATTCCCGTAAGAGCAAAAATTGAAGAAAACAAAAACACTGCTTGAGTTTAACCTTTGGCAGTCGGAGAGGCTCTCCATTTTCAGCTACAAAGAAACGATGACCACGAGGACACTCGTATTCCATCCCGACAAAAAGCTTTACCTGAAAACACGCTGAAATTTATGATACATAAACATTACTATTAACTTGGCAAACCTTCTCTATTTCTGCTGGCAATCGCCGTGCTTTCCGAGGAGGAGCACGGGATGAGACACCTTCTACAGCTTGCACATATTGCATGTCTCGATCCCAAACTACAGGATCAACCTGGAATAAGTTGTTAGACTGATGACGTCTGGCTTAGTTACCCCCACTCCCAAGGCTAAAAATATCGGACCTCAAGTTGCACTGTGACTGGATATAGGTATTCTCCACCCAACTTCAGATTCGGCTGATCACGGAGACCATAGGAATGCCTGCAATGAAAGATTTAGCAAAACATAGACTCTGGAACAAGTGCTGCGAGTTGCTTACGTGTAATAGTTATTGGGACCGATGCAGGTAAGCGTCCACGATGGGAAAAGAGGGGGCAACGCTGGTGACAGTGAGTGTGGCACACCTTCCAGGAATGGAACCTTGAAAACAGTTATGATGAATGCGCATTAGGGTGTAATGACAATGATGACCAAATGATATGACCAAAAGTAGAAGGTTCTGCAAACCACTGAAAAGCTATGAATACATACCTGCTTCGCCCTCAGCTTCTTCAGTCGAGCTTCGAAAGCAATAGCAGCCTCGTCCAACTTTGTATGAGGATTCTTCACAAATGAAACTATAACAACGTTCTTTTGAGAGATAGGGGGCTGGCATGCAACTATGACATTTTCAGTAGGGTTGCGATCGACATTCTGATCATATCTAACTATGTGTGCATTGGTCATAACAGATTTTGGGCACAGTTAGATAATCGCCACTACAACACTTTCAAGAATCTGCTTGGAGCCAACCTGCTTCATCGTCCAAATAAGACCGCGTATTGCGATAGTGAACATCGTCATCTTGCGAAGATTGAGAAGAGCTTTCAATCGGATCAGGTTCGGCATTGCTCACCTGAATGAATAACGGAAAATAATGAAAAATGGTTCCAAATACTATTCCATCATTAAGGCTAAAATGAATATTCCTAAGAATGACTCGAAACCATTCTGCAGTCCTTGGTTGCTTACTATGTTTTGGAAAATGGAAAGATCAAAATGCTTCATTCGGTCACAACAAAAGTTTTTCATGAATTTAACAACTTGTTGTGATCTAGCACCTTTAGGCGCGAAACTAAAGTATTAAACCGAAAGTGGAAGCTAACCGAATCTTCGCCTGTGTCACTTCCAGTTCCCTCTTCTTCGTCCACTTCCACGGGATGATGGTCCTCTGCTGAATTTTGCCGATCACGCGACATAGCTGCTGTCACAGGAAACAAAGGATTGGAGCCACCACCTTCGCCCTCATCCCAGTTATCGTTAACTGGCCACTAAAAATTTACTAAGTTGATGAAAAAAAGCAAAAAATGAATGGATGGAAACACAAGTACTAACCAAACCCTTCTCTACATCAGGTATCATCGTCCTCCAGTACAGCGAACACGTGTTTTTCCAAACCTGCGCAGCATGAGAACACCTTATTCTCGAAGTAGAAGTCATAATTCGCTTCCTAAAATCGTTCCTTTTTTGTTTTCGTATTCAGTGCCAAGGACGAGGCCATTCAAATATAATCGTACTTTCAAGGTGAAACGGATCTCTGCGCACTGCTTGTCGCCGACCACAAGAACATGTAGATAAATACGTGATGTCGTTCGAATGCATTTCCCACGCAGATGGATCTACAGAGGCATCGCCTACGGTTGGATGAACCTGCAAAATAAATGTAAAAAATCTAATTCAACACATCGGTACTCAGACCATCCAAAATGGACAATAACAAGCCATGGTAAGCCACGGCCAAGGAAGAACCGTCAGGCTTTTAATAATTCCTTGACTTTAGTATTTGGGATTCCTGCTGCAGAGTTGCAAATGCCCTTGATTGCGAGATGTGGGGGCAGTTAGAAAATCGAAATTAACACGATAGCGTCAATTTGCCTTACTCCCCCTCCTCCCGAGAAGATTTCACGAGATCAAAAAGGACTTCAAATTATGCTGCGCAGTGCAAGCGAGCAATCATAGCAGACGTCACGGGAAGAGATTTAAAGGCACACCCTTCGATCATGTTGATGTGATGAATCCGCTCAAATATGAGACTCGTAGTGCGAAGTGGGCCACCGAAGAAGAAATCGTCGAAAACATCGGAAGTACAGGCTTTTGTTCTACGATTATACGAGAAAGGTCGAGAGCTAACAGATAAAGCGCCGCTGGAAGGGAATAAGGAGCCTCCTTAGCTAATGTGGGCGTCGCCTTAAAGGGCAAAAATCAAACCTTCAACTGACAGCGGTTGCCAGTCATCGATACTTGCTCACAACCACGCATTCCGCCTTGCCAGAGATTGTCGCACGCGGCTCGAATTTGAGCGACAGCTTCATCCCGATTGCCAACCAAAACAGCGTCAAGATATGCTATGGCCATAGCAACCTTGAAATGTACATTTCCGGAAGCAAACTCATAACAAACCTAAAATTAATGAGTAAATGGTACCTTCTCATCATGTTCTGCTTTAGTGAACACGACTTGGTTTCGAGCACGATCAGTTATGGCCTTCCCTTTACCGAAGCCAGAAGACGCTCCAGTATACCGAGCAATCGCTTCCTTTACGTGCTTAGCATTGAGCCTAAAATAGCACTTTGGACCGCAGAAAGTGATGTACAAATAAGTGTCGAGATTCGGACAAAACACTTTGTCACAATGAAACAAACAAAGATGTCGTAAAATGAATTAACCGCTTAACGACATGCAAACATTTCTGAAGTCATGAAGAATCGAGAATGATTGGATAGAGCACCCACATTCTAGTAAACTGCAACTGCCTATTGACGTATTGGTTGAGCAGCTTTCTTGTTAACATTTCAGAGTCTGGCTTTATGAGGTCTAGCAAAGCTCGTGCGTATTTCACCCAGAGCTCCAGTTTGGGAACCTAAAAATAGAAAGAATTGATGAAATTCCATAAAGTACCAAATAGGCAAGAATGACCTCATAGATTTTCGATTTACTCGCTCTCAGAGAATCGATGTGCGTACGCAAAAATCTCGTGAAAGATGGTGTTTCTAAACAATAATAGCATTTGAAATCGGGACGTATTCTGTAGAGCTCCACATACAATAAGGAACAGGCCCAGAAGTGTCATACTTTCTGATTTATCGTCTCCATCTTCAACTAAGTCTTTCCCTAAAGCTATTTGAAGAATGTCGGCCAAAGGGTTCACATTCACCAGCACAGGCTGCATCACATTGACAAACGCGTCATTCTCAGGCACGTATCCCAGAGAGTCGCCGCTGAAAAATAATAACGAACTTCAGAATAACGTTGGCAAGTGAGCATGGGAAAAAAGCCTCACCTAGACTGCTCTACCAATCTGTAGCATTTGAGCACAGAATATATCTGCGATTCCAAATTGTGCTCCAATTTATCGCATATTTCACGCTAAAATTGGCTCAACAAACTGTATATGACAAATACACCTGGTACTAGTTGAAAATCATTTTCAAGTCCGTAGCTACCAGCTGTAAATTTTATTCGAAAGACTATTTTATTTATAGCTTGAACCAAATAACATACCTTTTTGACAAAACCGAGTTCATTGCGAATGATGTTGCGTTGAAAAGCAAACAGAATACGGGGAAGGGCAATACGTCCTTCCCTGATCCATTCTGGCGCTTCATTAGATGTCTCTTCGAGCTTTTCGCTGACTGACTCTCTCACATTCTTTCTGAAAGTGAAGTGCATTAAGGCATGGGATTGCTACAAGGTCCTGGAAAAAAGAAGAAAAAATCCATGGATTAAAATATCTCGACCACGATACTGATTTGTAGGCATATTAAACGCTTATTTATTTCATGAATAGTGCTTTAGCCCACAAAAGCGACCTTACACTGAGATTCCAGTTATTGTTTTCTTTCTTTTTATTCAGGAACACTTGAGAAGCTTCTTTTGAACTTCTGTATAGAGGGTTTGCCGAAAAGTGTTGCTAAACCGGAAGAAGCTAACACCAATCAGGAGTAACTTTGGGTAGATAAGAAAATATTCTACTCTGTAAGGTTTGCCTGCGTTCGTCCTTTTTTAAATAGTAATGACACAGCCAAGAATTTCTACAAACCGATTCAAAAATATAAATCGGGCAAAATAATAACAATTGTACGGAACCTCAAATGTTCTACCAAAAACCAAGCGAATACTGCTGAAACAACGCACCTAATCTTGTTAACGTTGGATAGCGTATCAGAAAGAGAGATGTCGAAACGGGTACTGCTTTCCACAAAAATGATGAGATGGGAAAGTATGCATAAGTAGTGAAGCAATCTTATTTCTAGCTCCTCACTTTCAGCTATTCTTTCGAAAAAACTCTAAAAAATAGGAGAAAAATACGAGCTGCATTTCAAGGACAGTACACCAGGGTTAGTGAGTAAACTACGAGCGTAGATTTACCTTGTCATGACTGGATGCAAAAAGTTTGCCGAAGATGTGCAAAATCATTATACCCGTTAAGAACAAGGAATATAGCGTTGTTGTCCAGGCAATAGAAGGCTTGAATCTAAAAAGGTTCATACATGAGAGTAAGGTCAAATAGGCGAGAATCCAAAATATGCGAATTAGGGTCGGGTCATATTTTGCAGTTCGGTTTGTAGTCGAGGTTGGACAGATAGACAGATATTTGTGAGTAGTCAGATTTTGATCATGCGATAGTGCGATCGCATGATCAATACGCACCTTCTCCACATCGAATCGCAAAGCGAACGGAAAGCATGACCCCTCCCTTAGTGTTTAGTGGTTGAATGACATATGAGCGTCATAGTAGTAATCATAGGCATCAGGTAGTATTACTACGCTTGTTGTAAGTACAACGCGGACCTTCGCTAGATCATAGGGAACTAGAAAAAAACTAATATGGCGCTTCATACACGATCGTTTGGTCGTAGCAAGACTGGATACGTATCGATCGTCCAATCCAACCGGAAGTTTCTTTTCTCGATTCGTATCTAACGTTGGGTGTTGTTCATCAGGACAGAAAGCGACATTTTCGCGTTTCGCAGCGCGAAACATTTTTCGCTGCGGGAATCCTCGGGTCCACTGATGATCAGAGGTGGACCTGAGGTTCCCGCAGCGAAAAATGTTTCGCGCTGCGGAAACGCGAAAAGTCGCTTTCTGTCCTAGTGAATCACATCATTTACCTTAAGCGATCGATGCGACCGGAATGATTACGACTATAAAGCGTTATTTGTGAGTACGATAGCTTACTCAATCATACACTTTAATACCAACCGACATTGTGTTTTCACTGTCTGTCCAACGTGGAAACACATCCATCCGCAGCAAATCATTGAGGTCTTCGCCTTTCGCACGATTAAGGGAATCCTTGCCGACCTGCAAAAAACGCACATGAAATAACTTTAGTTATAAGGATGGTTTTGGACAACACTCGATGCATCCCTGAACACCATCCAAAAGTTTGGTTCCTTTTTCGTATTTTTACGTCCCCTTACGACTCCTCCCTCTTCAGAGCTCTTCATGCATATCTTCACAAAAAAGGCCACTGTACGCTAATAACGCTCAATAGTAGTCGATAGATTTTAACAACTACTTTTCTTCGCACCAATCATGAGATGAAAAAACACTGTCTTGCACATTTGCCTCAGCAAGTCAGTACGACCAAAGCGTCTTCAAATGCCAGCGCAATTCTGAATGGAAACGCAACCCAAAAAAGGATTGATCAGTGCCCAGTGTTTTATCTTTTTATCGTTGATCTTTATTCCTTGCTCGATGCAGCCTTCTCCGTATTGTGATGGAGTTGAGCTGAACAGGGAAGGTCGTTCAAAGAAAGACAACAGAGAAGCTTGAATTTCTCTTTGTAAAGACAGAAATCTAATGGCTTACAGGATGGATCATCACAGAAGAGGAAATCGAGTTGGGATGCAAAACTATAATATAACGGAACAGCTTGGATTAGCGGATCACGGTAAAGGCCTGAGAGGGGAAAGGAATATTGGGAAAAATTACTGCTCGCGCATCGTGGAGTTCCTAATGGTAAGGCGCTATTCCAAAACTGGGCCAGCTTGATCCGTGGCCCGTCAAATCGTGATGTTGTAATTGAGTTTTTGCGCAGTGTGCCTCAGGGAGGAGGCAGTCTGTAGGAAGGTGATTGGAGAAAATTAAAACTGCTTGCGCATCCTCCCGGAATTCCCGCTTTTACTTTGAGGGTTAATCCTAAAACTGAGCGTTTCCAAACACATGACGCAATTATGGGCTGCTCCTCCCCCGCAGCTCCACTGAGCCTAAGTTTTGCATCAAATTGGTACCAGTAGGCGTTAGCGAATCATAAACAAACTTACCAGTCCAACTACCACGACCTTCTTTTCCAAATATGGTGAGAGAAAATTCTCAGCCTGCTCCAGCCATTTCTCGAGTCTAAGCGCCCTAAGGAAAGAATCATTTCCTGATGATGCGTCCATCCAAATCCGACCCAGTCTGTAAAAAATGACTTTAGTAATGCCGAGCACAACCGGAACAACGCATTTGTAAAGCGACCTGAGTAGGGCCAGAACAGCATGTCACGGTCAAAAGATATTCACTTCGCTACGTAGACTAGTTACTGCCCTAATCGTAGAACTAATACAAAAGCTGATCCGTAAAATGGTGCAGCAAGGCAACCACCAAAGAAATAATGTCACATAGTGTGTGTCAATTACGGATATTTGCGCGGTACCGGTACGGAGCAGTATCAAGTCACGAGATCCTCAGTAGTGAAAAAAGTTGCTCTATCCAACAACTGAAATTTTAATGCTCCATGTTGTGTCCGAAAGGGTGCTAACTTAGTTGGGAAACCACCGGCGGGCGGCGCTTTGCCTGGCTTCCTCTGCAGAGCTTATCCTCGGGGTGTGGTTCACTAGGACAGAAAGCGACTTTTTCGCGTTTCGCAGCGCGAAACATTTTTCGCTGCGGGAACCTCAGGTCCACCGCTGATCATCAGTGGACCCGAGGTTCCCGCAGCGAAAAATGTTTCGCGCTGAAACGCGAAAAAGTCGCTTTCTGTCCTAGTGTACCACATCCACTCCACGGTGCTACTGTATTTCGAAACCGCTACGATGCGGCGAAATAGTAACGACCCCTGTGGCTAAGCCTCAGAGATGCAGATGAGTAGAGCGTCGCGCCGCTACGTGCCCCTCTCCCTCCCCCCCCAACTAAGTTAGCGCCCAGAAAAGATCCCGCATTGATTGACAAGGTGGAAATAACAGAAATTAGAAGTAAAAATCAAGTGTATCTGGGATATCAGCACGTATATTATCATAACTGTTGGTTCATTCGGATAAAAATCACGAATGAATGGCACAGATGTCGTTCTTGGGTTGACGCTCTGGCTGTGCCACGTGTTCCCATACTGTTCAGGTTCTTGGAAGGGATTGGACAGAGCATGAAATGTTGACTATAGTAGTACGAGTTTTGTCTTCTTTGATCCCCCTGCCTCGCCATCGTTCCACATCCGACCTTACTTGAAGGTTAAGGCCTCGTTTCCAAAGATTTCTCTTGCTTTCCTTTCCACTTTCAGGTCGTTCCGCAGCTCAGTCATCACCACAAAGCGCTCTTATCACCAGTTTTACCCCGCGGCTTGCCTTTAAGTAGCGCACGGAAATTCAGGCCCTCCTTTCACATCACTTCAAAGAAAATAAGCAACAATTGGCAGTAGATGTTGACTGTCGTTCTTCTGCGCTCTATGTTACTGGAAAGCTAGAATGGAGAAGTATCTTCCTTTCATATATGACCACTTTGATGAAACTTACTCGTTGTTTTCGGCGCCCCTCGACAAGGATTCGCAGTCGTTCATTGTCCGAGTTTGATATGTTATCATTCTTGCTGTTTGATTGACTGGGACGCTCCCGTTCCTTGGTTGCTAATGAATCTACGAACAATCGAACAAGGCCATTTCATTCCTCTGATAGTCATCGCCTCATAAAACTACATCTCCAACTAGCTATTAGAGACCATTAGCACACATTTCGTCTTACGCAAAAACAAGAGGTTGACTGCTATCGTAAAACGAATTAGGATTCGTCAGGAATGGATAGTAACCCAGCACCTTGATATTAGGGTGTCTGAGAGTATCTCTAAGTCAATCAAACGTTGAGCTAGCAATAAGCTCACTACGGAGCTCAGTACACGCAAGCCTTCCCACTCCGATAATATAAATGAATAGGTTCCTTTTCTTCGAAAAACAAGTTCGGGAGCCCCAACAGGTTCTTCGTCGCCTTCTCAGAGAGTCTCAATATTTCTCTTAAAGGTACAACTCAGGCAGAGTTAATGTAAACGCTTCCCTTCGGTCTGCAGTATACATAGACCAGTAAAGGGGAATCACAAATGTGGCGTTCCGCCGGTGCACGAAACCATTCCGACAGAGCGCTTATTGGCCTGCAAGTGCATCCTGGCTCACAACTGCAAGACTTTTTCTCCCATAAAGGCCTAATGTTCGTACTGGTCTCGTCTGCAGCGAACTCTTTTTCAGCCCTCAAAGCGATACTACTCGCCGCCTCAAGTCTCTTCTATTCCCAGTGGGCACAGTCTACGAGAAGGTCACGAGTCCTTAACCTAAGCGTTTTGCAGCGTCACATTTCCCTTTTTTCTTTACTTTCGAGCCCACTTCCACCACCAATACACTCGCATTCGTGTTTCATATGTCTACACACAGTATCCTGGACATCCTTAAAACCCTAATAAGAGCTTCAAAGTATAGGCTGAAAGCATGCCCGCCAAAGTTTCTAAACTTAGCCATAAATATGTCTTCACCATTCATGAAAGTATTCATTGATAGCGAATATCGAGCCGTTAGCATTGAAAAATTAGCACGGCGACTTCGATATTACGCGACTTGAGTTATCCAATTGCAGGCCACGGGTTATTTATGAATGCGCCGATGCGAGCGAGAACCATCTGAATACCCAGTCTATGCGAACTTATTCTCGTACTTCTTCGCTGATGCTTGAGAGACAAAGTAGAAATGAGAGCTTGCCTTGTGGAATTTCGGCCGTTTGGCTTTCATCATTATCGCTAGGGAATAAGTATTATTCAGGGCTGGCCACACGAGGAGACCTTCGCTTCATAGGATCACACTAGCAGGCCTTCTAAACTAGCAGCAGCTGCCGTAACGTCGAAGTCATGCAAAACTGTAGCTCTCTAAATGTTCCTTCTATACTCGGTTGCACGCGCTATCCCGCCCCGCTTCACTGATGGCAAATCGTGTTCACAACATACAGGGGGGGGGAGCGTCCGAAGTAAAATCACCCTTGCTCCATTACTGCATTCACAATTCATCAAAAATTTTGGTCGCTCCGCAGGAATTTCCGTATGTGGTGAATTGTTTTACTCGGCGAAATTCTTTGTTTGTTTTCCTCAAAGGCACGAAGCAGGCCCTTCTTATCACTCGTCCCTACGTCCTTCAATTACCCCACGGTCGTTCTCCGCTTTACCATTCACCGTCGAGCTCAACGAGGCCTACCGTAATCGCTCCTGAAGCTGCTACATAATTTCTTCAATCGATTAACTGGTGAATAGCTTCCAGAGACACTAGCTGTGACTGTGCAAGACCGCTTTTGACCAGCGTTTCAGGGACGTCGTAATGGTCTATGGTACCTCGACGACCTCGTTGAGCTCGTACCGTGAACCATGTTTCCGTGGGAAAATCTTCTGATGTCGTCGGTGTAGAAGGCTGTCATGTAACTTTTGATAGATTAGAATGTGCTCTTTAATATTCAGTTGGCTCATTTGGTTTGGTTTCGCAACGCGTAATTAATTCCGTTTTGAATGTGGAGGGAAGTGACTCTTTTTTTGCCCCCCCCCTGCATGTAGTGTCATCTGCAATCGCCATCAAGTTCGAGGAGATCATTCATAATTGCCCCAGCCTGGAGCAGCGGTGTGATCACTTCAACCGGGTAAGCTAATGGATATTTTCTAGAGACAGTAGCTCTGAATATGCAAAACCCATTCTGACCAGCATTTCAAACGTAGTAATGGTCCAGATCCGTTGAGGACCTCGAACCGTGAGCATGGTTTCCATGGTAAATTCTTCTGATGACGTTGAAGTCAAAGGCTGTTGTGCTGTCTTTTGCTGGAAATGAACGTGCTCTTCAATCGTCAGCAAGGGCGTTTTGTTTTAATTTAGCAAAGTGTGACTAAAACCTTTTTGAATGTGGAGGGAAGCGTCTTTTTTTTGAACACCCCTTTAGAATTCATACAGTCAATTCTAAGCACCACATCCCCTGTGGACAGGGTAAAAACTGCCCTAAGAACGAGCCGTGACATGCATCGATCGAATGAGAGTTGACCGGTGTGTACGGCGCAGAATATCCATGTTTCAAGCCACCATCACTTTCTCGTTTAGCTTCACGGCCTTACCCCAGTAACTCAATCGCGCTGTTTTAATTGAACGTATTTGGACAAGCGCAAGCCTTAACTCTGCGTCCATCCCTTCCTCGACATCTTTCGTCTGTCGATCGGTTCATTATACGTGTTGAGTGCTGGTAAGCTTTGTAAATATCGTCATGTAAGCTGGGCTAATGCTGAGAAACGACGCGTTGGCGCCGTTGTAGACCGGTGGCCAGCAGTGCCCGGATAGCGCTACATAAGCTGCGGTCCTCCCGTCTGGGATACAGTGTTTCACCAGAAGCAGCCATTTCCTGTGTATTTGAGAAGAGCGCAAGAGGGCACCTGGCGGAACTGCTAGAAACGCTTACAAGTCTCTCCCCCTTCCCCCCTACCGCGCTCATTCACCCTGTTCCAATCCTTTGAAGTAGTAAAACGACACTCCGGACTTTATTGTATTAGTGAAGCAAAGAACATTTTGTCAATTCAATATAATATCTGCAAGTGCAAGAGTTCCAACTGAAATCTGTAGAAAGTCAATATGTGGTGAACATTTCCTAGCAAAACCCATTATGTGATGATTGAATGCCTTTACGTGCGCCAAGGAATTTTTTGCTTTTTCTCCCATACGCCCTATCACTGGCGTGCCTGATACTGTTCACCTCTACTGGCTGAAACTGGAGAAAACAAAAGACGTCATCCTTTCAACTAGTTTCATGAATTTCGATTCCCACTGTTCAAACTTCACGATATTTTTCATGGCCTCGGAAGCTTTCATTCTAATTCCAGCTCAAATCCTAGTGGTCGATATGAACTTTCACTCATCAGCGATCAGATATTATGAAGCTTTCCCTTCCTCTCCCCAAACTAACCCCTCCCTCTCCCTCCTCCCCTCAATGTTCACCTATTAACAGGCCAGACAGACTGTGCTGACGTATTTTCAAATAAATATCAGCAATCTATTGACGGTAATCAATGCTCGACAAGAGCTCAGCAGGAAGAGAGTAGTTCACTCTCCCGGTTTCTCATATGAAAAGGGGGAGCAGGATACTGATCCTTTTTTGGAATGCACCGCGCACTGAAATGTGCAGAGCGAAATTTCTAACTCTAAACATGGGCGATAAGCAGCTGCGCGTTTTCTTCCCAAAAAGAGAATCCTTGCATGGGTCGGAGGTCAGAGAGGGGAAACCTAACTAGTTTAGAAAGACAGACGGTCCGTTAATTAATGGTCGCGATTCGCCCAGTGAAATGTAAGTTATTCGGACGATCTTCCTGAACGTACGCGGCGTTGACGGGCCCCCCCGCAAAGCGTGTGGCGATTTGGCTAACCAACTATCCTGCGTTTCGTGGACTGTATAGCAGAGGGAGAGTGTTAGCATTGGAGAGAGCAGCTCTAATGGAAGTCGCATCAGTGTGGAAATCAGAGAGACAAAAAAGGGGTCCTAGAAGTCAGATTCTGATCCGCTCACCTTTTCCTTGCACCGCTCACCTTTTCTAACCTGGATGAACTCCGCAGCGACCTGGGTGAACAGCGCCCGAAATTAACTTACCATCTCAGCCGCCACTCCACCAGTCACAGCCTTTCAACTATGCCGCTTGTTTCCTTCCTCCCTCACTGGCTGAGGTTATTTGTAATTTTCGAGTTATTACACCCAACTCAGAATTTCACGAGCTTCTCTGAGTAGTGATATGACTAGCTACAAAAACAATTTAAATGAACGCTTTTTGGATGGTAGAGAACCTCATCTTCAAGTCCGAGGGCGTCGGCAGGACCCCTACTAACCCTTATATTTCGGTTCATCGCTTAGCATCAGCAACTCAACCATTCCATTTTCGCTGGAATCAGGATTTCTACAGGGAATAATGATTGATATTTCGACGATTGAGACACATTTGTTGCACGAAAATGACGTCATTGACTGTTTTCCTGCTGTCGTTCACATTTGTGCCTGTTGTGGATAGACGACAACGTCGTCTGCGGCACGTCCTCTATGAGATGAATGCTACAAACCAGTTCCGAGGAGGTCATCGTTTAACCGTTCATTGCTGTCTAACGTCCGTTTTGATGGCATTTCTCGAAATGCCGTCCCATCATTGTCCTTTCGACGTCTTAGTGTGTGTTGTTTCCTTAATTCGAGTCCATTGCGTGATGATTATTCGAACAATCTTATTGAGTGATTTTGAGTAATTTATTTTTCACGGTTTACACTTCCAAGCTCTGCAATGTTTATTTTGCTTCATTTGTACTGTTCGATGCCCCCTACATACAAATGGAAATTCGCATCCATAAGCTACTACGATTCTGATGGAAAGTGGAATCGATGCGCCACTCAGGAAAGGAATGATCGAACGCAAAGGCCCAGCCACCTCCCATCCAAAAGACAAGGCTGGCAAAAGTCGGAAAATCACAGATGTGGCACTCCCAGATGGAAATCACCCGACATCGGCGCCGGCTTCGCAAATCCAGCTGCAGCAGCTGCAATGTTCCCCATACTGTTGTCTGGCGATCTCCCATCTGCGGCGTTAGCACCACTGCCTCTCCTCTTCTCCGCGCTTAGCCGTCGATGTACCTTACACACGCATCACAAAGGCTCATGACCAACTGTTCAGGTAGGAGATCAGTAAACAACACAATATTGCACGACCCACACGCTTTGCCTAGTAACACGGAACCACAAAAGCAGAACACACAGAGATCCAGTAAAGGAGGAAAAAGACGATTAGCGGCAGCCACGTCTCATCAGCTCATGGGCCCAAGGCTCTATGGAATAACCCACCGGCGGCGCGGACGCGAGCGCGTGTGGGTGACGCCAATTTGACGTCACAGAAGCGGCGAGGGATTGCGTAAGGCAGGCGCCAATACTTAACATCACATAATAGACACTATCAAGTCTGACTCACTGCAAAGTGATACTACTAACGAAGAATGGACTGTCACAAAATACTGGGTGTGACAAAACTTGCCCCAGGGATTATAACCCGCACCTTCTCGCTTCCGCAAGCTTGCCGACCCACGTTACCTAGCCGGGCACCACTTTCATTCCCAACTCACTTTTCCATGACTCTCAGAATAGATGACTTATGAAATCAACTTCGAATTGATGCGTCACCTCGTTAGTAGAAACCGTGTGATTTCTCTTATTTCGCAACAAATTCAATTTGATGCGCCAGCTGACCTACACACACAAACCACTTCGCTCACTTGACACTACCGCTCTGCTAGTTGTGAGGGCCCTGTCTACCTTCTAACACAAACATGAAGTGTCAAACGACGCTTTTGAGTCTCTATCTCGTCACTGTGCCGCAGTTGGACGTCACCTCACGCGCTCGCGTTCGCCCGCCGGTGATCATTCCCCTCCCTTCCGGGTAAGGAGCTAAGAATCCTCCTATCAAAATTTCTGCGACAACGTCCGTAGCGTCGTTCCAACATTGCTGTGACAAGACGAGGGCGCGGTATCTGTAATAGTTAGTAGGGCCTTGATTGTTTTACAGTTTTTGAACTTATGAGCACTTTTCGCCTTGTCCCAAAGCAAAATCTTCCCGTTAAAAGCACTATCGCTTTCCAAACACCCTACATTAAGTGAATGCAAGCTCTGTAGGTGATCGAAGCCCACAATCTCATCGTTCATCTTCTGTAGCCATGTCCCTATATTTCGGATATATTATCAGGAAGCATTTTCTTGT